CACCACACACTTATTTGAACAAATATTTGGTTGCGACACTCCTTGAATCAGGCCACGTCCCCTTAATCGATGGGGGAGTAAATCTGGCTCTCAGATGGCTAGTGTGGCGCCATCTCAGAGTGATGATAAAGAGCGATTTTTCATTTTCAGATGTTTTTGAGTTAATCATTTTGTTCTTGTTTTCTAATATGAAATTTCCACTTCAGTTTGTAGGAGTTAGTTTCTCCTCCTTAGCACAGATAAAAACATGAATTACTCACCTGTTCACTTAATTTTTAAATGTATATATTTATAAATTCACTCAGCATTGATTGAAATTCTCCCACCCTGCCGCCGTCTCCTTTGCAGAACTCAAACGGCCAAACAGCAGAGTCGAAAGGGAAGAGATTGAAGAGAAAGTATAAAAGGAGGAAATCGGAGGGCAAGAAGTCTGATGACGAGTGTTTCCGCTGCGGGGACGGAGGGCAGCTGGTGCTCTGCTGCAAGAAAGCCTGCACCAAAGCTTATCACCTGTCCTGCCTGAACCTCACAAAGAGACCGTTTGGTAAGAATCTGCAGAGGTCACACACACGGTTTGTTTAAAGCACAGTTGTGTGTTTAAAAAAAAAAAAAAAAATCTTACCTTTGTGTCTCTGTTGTTCGCGCTCCCATCAGGCCGCTGGGACTGCCCCTGGCACCACTGTGACGTCTGCGGGAAAAACTCGGAGGCCTTCTGTCAGCTTTGCCCCAACTCCTTCTGCAAGGCTCACCAGGAGGGGGCGCTGCGTTCCTGGCCCGCCACAGGCCAGCTCTGCTGTCAGGAGCACGAAGAGCTCGAAGCGACCGACAACCACGAGCGGGATGTCAACTCTGAGACGAGTATGACCGCCGTCGCCGTCACCACGGTAACTGGCCGTGCGGCGAAAGGCTCCAGAAAGGTGGGAAGAGCGGTGGCCAAGACAAAAGGCTCCAGGAGGAAGGCAGCAGAGGCGTAAAGTTGACCCTGCATATTCCCCAAATGCCAAACTAGACTTTTTTATGCCTGCTCCTCTTATCATAAACAAATCTAACCCCCCCCCCCCTTGTGATAATGACTCCAAGACCACAAAAATCAAGGCGCTGTACATGTTCGTTATCAGGGAAAGCTGCTGATCGCTCACACACTCGGCAGCCGTCTCCAGCTCGTCGCATTTTTTCCAGGTTAATTTTCACGTCTGCACTCGGTCCAACCACAACGCAGCGGAATGAGCACGGGTCAGGACTCCTCAGCTTGTGGATTTCAAACCTTCATTTTTTTCCCCACCAACCAAAAACTGCCTTTTTGATTTTAAAGTAAAAAGAAGAAACTAGTTGAACCTGAAACAGCTCTTACTAGAAGCCTGATGCCTCGCCATGTGCTACCTTGACTCTGTCGCCCCCCCCATCCCCCCGTCACTCAACACAGATGATCCTGAACAGCAGAGTTTTATAGCTATAAGTATATATGTGTATATCAAAGACCAAAATTATGAATACTGGAAGAGTTTATGACGTCAATCAGGTTGCCAAATGGATGTTTTCCTTTTATATATATATAGTGTATATAATCCAGATGTACTATGGAACACCAAGACACTATGGATCGGCCTCAGACGACCTCCTCTGTAGTCATAGGTTACATTGAACTGTAGGCTTTTGTTCGCTGTTTATACAACCTGTCGTTTTGCTTTAGCTCAGCGTAACTCTTTAGATTTTAAAAATGTCCTTTTTTTTATTTTATTTTTGGTATCCGGATGCTGATGAATATGAACAATAGCTCCCACAAACAGTTTTAACCCACCAGCCGGTCCAGAGAGCACTCTTTACAGTAACATCCTCAGGAGAGATGCATGCTGGGAGCTCTGTGCTGCATTGTGGGGGGGAAAAGCATAGCAAAGAAAAAAATGAAGGAAGTCACGTTTTGTTTTAACGTTTTAGTAAAGTTGTTCTAAGTCCTGATCTTCAGATGCTGTTATTTCTTTTGGATTTAAATATCTGAAATGTCGAGCACAAGGTTTTTTTCATGATTAGATAAACGCATCACGCTGCTCCGCTTGCCGGATTTTTATTGACTTTTCAGACACACCTCAGGTGTGTTAATCCTCGGGAGGTTTAAACTGCTTCCCTTTAACACGGGCTAACATGGTGTGAGTCCAGGTTTGTTAACGCTACTCAATATGAAGAGAAGAGTACGGTGGCTGTTAAAGGACATGTCAGACTCTCAGACTTGAAGTCCGTGTAGATTCTCAGTCATCCAGGTCAGGGTAAACTCCAAGTTTGATACAAAGGCAACTGGACTTGGTGGACTAGGTTGGTCTTCAAAATCTTTAAACCAAGGCCAGTTGCCTTTTGAATCTCAGACTTGAAGTGATTGCAAATATGTGAAAACAGTTTGAGAGAACTAATCCTAATCTTGTCGTTCACACACGCGCCTCACAAACGGCAGACTTTCCCGGTCAGAAGGGAGGGGACAGTCGAGACGGGGGTTCTTCTGAGGCAAGAAGTTAAGGACAAAAATACATTGACTGGAAACATTAACATTAATCCAATATGTTAGATTTTAGTTTCTCAAAGTGTCGTTTAATGTGTTTAAAAAATTCAAACATTTAGCTGACAATCTGACAGATGATTCATTTAAAGAATTTCCTGCAACATTTTTTTTTAATTTCAAGCAAAAAAGTAGAAAAACCCTGAAGTGACATCATGATGCTGATCCCTCTCCAGCTGGAGGTAACGTGTAGCCACGATGTTTTTCACATTTTTAACTCGAGACTATTTATCATTTTGACACTTAAATAACCGAACGGAACGCAGCGCTTGCACATGATTGGTCGTGTTGGCGCTCAGCAGGGTTTTTGATCTCCAGGTTCACAAGGAGCTCGACAAATACTCTTCACTTTAGACTTTTGAGTTTATAAAAGAAATGCATCATATCAATCCAGGTTTAAATTCAATTGAAATTCAAACTGCGTAATTACCCTGACGACCCATCTCCTGTGACTAAGACTAAAATGTCCTTAAAGAGCCACCGTACTCGGAGTAATCTTCTCTTAGTTCTTTGTTTAACAATTAGATTTTTTTAAACTTCTAAAATTAATCTTTTGATTTAATCTAATATATTTAAGTCTGTCCTGTGTTAAGTGAACATCACTTTTTGTTTCTTTTTTTTTTTACAGCTTCATGTTCTGTGCCTCTTTCATCACATTTCACATCGTTAAAAGTTGCTTCATCACAGAATCTTAATCTCCAAAGGCAGCTTTTTTCTGCAATATTTCTTTTTAATCTCAGAGGCAATCGGTGCTTTTCTCTTTCTTCCTTAAAAACGTTTCCACACATCTGATCTGAGGCGTGCGGACGCAACCAGATGGCCTTTTTTTTTTTTTTTTTTTTTATACCTGCACCTTTTCTTTTCCTTTTAGTAGTCTTGATTTCTCCCGGGGCGTGTGAATGGGACACGTCCAGCGGTGCAGCGAGTGGTGTACGAGTATTTTTCTGTATCCTAACCTTGTGTTGAGTGAATGTAGTTATTTTTGTAAGCACTGTAATTCCCTGTAGAGCTGAAGTGTAACGTGTGCGTAGGGGTTTCATTCTGTAACTACTGTCATAGTAAACCAGAGACTAATATGTACATAATGTATAAGTGGTAATAGTGATGCATCTATTGTAAATATCATACAATCTTTCTGACATTGTATGTTTTGTTTTTTTCTTGATGCAGTGCTGAAACACTTTTTGTGCAGGATCTGACGTTTGTAGAATCATGCATTAAAAAGTCGCCCAACATGAATTTATTGTCTGAACCGGACTTTTTCTTTCCCAACAATCAACAATATATATTTTCTTTATTAAATTAAAGGTACAGTCAGTGAGATGTGTAGTGAGTGAAATGATAAAAGGTATCTTACTATATAATCAGACATTAAGGAAACATGCTATGTTGAAGTGCTGGCTTCTCTGACAACAATGCAGCAGCCAGTATGTCCTCCTTCTAACTTCAGATTCTGCTCCTGAATGCTCTGGATTTGTTTGGACCAGAGAAGGTAGGCGCTTTTAATATTGGAGATGCTTTTGAAAAATGGAGAGAGGTTAGAACACAGAAAGGTTTACAGACCCATGCAGAGCTGGATAAACACTGAAGCTTCAGAGTCCACCACATGGTGACCTGAGTGAGCATCCACTCTAGAGAGGGGGGGGGGGGCAGCTCTCTACAATTTTTAGAATTCGTCTGCAGTACACATTGCATTTTTAATCTCATGCTATTTTGTCCCTTTCGGGGGCACCATAGATAAGCCTCCTCAGTGGCTCCCTGTAGTCACAATGATGTAAAAGGGAACGTCTCATTTCGTTTTAACAAACAGACGGTCCAAAGTAATATCCCCCTTATGACATCACACATTGACCTTTGTTACCGTTCCTTTAAGCTGTTCTCGTTTAGGTAACTTTTTTCTGTAGTTAAGGCAAAGTCATAACCTTTAATCTACAGGAAGTTCCTTATTTCAATTTAAAAATAAATGCAGGTACATAATCAAACAGGAAGTGAAGTACCATCAGTCTAAAGACATGACAAAATTTCAAAATAAAGGCATATCCATTTTTAGATGATATTTCAAACATGCGATTAAAAATATGATTCATTTCAATTAGGTATGATGTCTAATCGTTTGACAGCCCTAAAATAATCACAAAAGAAGGCGGGACATGACGTTTGGGATGAATTTGATTTGATAGTTAACTTTGACAAATGTGTAAACTTGAAAGATGAGTCATCGGACATTTGAAACATTTTACATGAAGATAAAATACAGTTATTTGGATGCAATAAACTCTCTGATAATGTGGTATTGAATTATATTTGGAAGGTCAATACATTTTTAACTCTGAAACGCTGGATTAAAACCAGGGAAATGCATTTTTAATTTCTTGGGGACTTCAAGAATTAGAACAACTTAGTGTTAAATCAAACAGTTAATGTAAGACATTGATGAGAGAAGAATGAGACTGAATTCATGTTTAAGTTTTTATTCCTCTTTAAGACAAAGACAAAAAAAAAATTCATTTTGCATAACAGTAGTACAGCAGCGGGCGGCCAAGGGTACAAAACGCTTCTCTCAGTTTTTCAGTGTAAAAATAACTCTACTCATACCTCTCACCTGTGCCGTCCTCTCGTAGTGCAAATGCTTCAAATAAAAGTTAGGCACATGATGGATACGATCGCAGTTCAATTACACTTAAGTGCTGATGATGATGATGAGGGCGAGTAAAAACATCGATCTGATTTCCCCTCCGTTATGGTTTGTGGATTCCCGTTTCATAATGTCGTCGTGTTAAAGACAGTCTGATGATAGCTGGAGTTTAAATAGCGGTGCTTGTAGCTGTGTGCTTGATTAAAAAATAAAAACCTACAGAGTTCTAGTTAGCTGACGTTCATCAGCTTCTTCGGCTAAGTGCAACTGAGTTCAGTTTTCTATCTAAAAAAACAAAACAAAAAAATACATCGCAAGCTTATGGTCCCAAGCAAATCGCACATCCTCCCGTGCTGATGCTTTTGCTTGTACGTATCGGAGCGAGCGTTTTTAAGTGGCAACTTGACATCTTTCTACTTTTTAAAAAGGAAGAAACGAAAATAAAAACTAGCTCAAAATAAAGTAAAATATTTCCCAGATTTACATATTTTACAAATAAAAAATAAATATCAGCTCTGTTTTTCATCTAGGCAGAAAAATAAAGGTACAAAGAGCGACTGTCATTCTTTCCCCCCCCGACTAATACAGTGCAGCTTATTCCTCAACGAGTGTTCCTCCGACATCAGGACGCGAGCACGCCGCGGCGGATGATGTCGGAGCCGTAGCGGCGAGCGAGAGACGACTCGCCCCTCAGCCGGTGGGAGTGGCATCGCTTCAGGCACGGCTCCATCTCGCCGTCGGCCGGTTTGGCGTCGGAGGCGTAGCCGTCGCTCTCGGCCCCCGTGCGGAGTCTGGTCCTGGGGTTCGACGTGTTTATCGGCGGCCTGAGCAGCGGCTTGTGATGCTGCACTTCCTCCTCCTCGTCCTCATCTTCTTCTTCTTCGTCGCCGTCTTCCTCCTCCTCCTTCGCCGTCAGAGGTTTCTCATTCCTCCTAGGGATCCTGAATTTGCCCCAGCCTTTAAGGTGCCCGCCCACCTGCCGGCCGGGTGTGTGCGAGCCGTTCGCCTTCCTCAGCCAGCCGTTGGCGTGGACAGCGACGGAGGCGGGGCTTCTTTTCGTCATCCCTTCTTCCATGAAGTAGTCGTCCGTGACCGTGTCGGAGCTCCTGATGTCGACCAGCCTGATGGACACAGTTTTCTCCAGGTGTTTCGACCCGAGCCGGTTCTTCCCCTGGCTCGGCAGACTTTCCACCGCGTCGCTCCTCCTCCTCCTCCTCCTCTCCTCTTGCTCGTGGTCGTTGTCTCGCCGCCGTCTGTTCAACGCCTCGTGCTCCGCCTCCCTCCTCGGGCCTTTCCTGCTCTCAGGTTTGTGCGGCTTAACATTCATTGCTTCCTGAAAATCCTCTGCCTTCTGAAGCTTGAAGAACTGAATCTCCTGGCTGATGTCGGAGTTCAGGACTTTGGGTTCGCTCGCCGCCTCAGACGTCTTACTGTCTTTCGTCTCCAGCGGTTTGCTCAGATTGTCCTTCCTGTAAGAGTACGGCGAGTCTGAGGGGCCTCTTCTGTCGCTGCTTTTCCTTCGTTCCTGCTTTAAAGACCCTCGTTTGGTTTTTAGTCCAGACTGGCTCCACGAGGAGCGAGACTGGGAGCCCTGAGAGGATAACCAGCCGAGAGAGAAGAGCTTCTCCAAATCGTTTGCTGAAGGATCTCCTGCGACGAGAACAAGACAGGTACAAGGTCAGCACAGACGAAGAGCCAGGATGTAATATTATACTGTCATGGAATCCTACAGTGAAGATATGACTGATCTAAAATCTGTAGAGATCCGAGTTTTAAAACTGAGACTGTCTACAAAACTACAAAAATAAATTTTAAATGCTGTGCATGTGTTTTTACCTATTTAGTGTACTTTTAGCTAATGATGACCTAATGCGAGTGTTAGTGTGAATGTTTGTATGTTTTCATGTTGACCCTCAACAAAAGGTAATTTTCTGTCACAATGTGATAGACAATAAAGTTTTTGGAATCTTGAAACGTTTGAAATCAAACTGGTATGTCAGGCCATAGACTGAATTAAACATAGATGTAGTCTCAGTGACGTCACCCATGGGTTTCTTAAGTGGAGTTTTGAAGCCAAACTATGGTGATCGTCACAGACAAACAGCTGGAGTTAAGGTGGGACTTAAGCCTCCTGGTTAACAGCTAAGACGCTCTCGCCTCTGTGTGCAGACCTCTTGGCCATGATATAACCAAAACAGCTATTAATATAAATATTACCAGGTTTATTTCTTTTTGAGAAAGGCATTTTAACATTTATGTTGGCAGGACTTCCGGGGTTTTTGCAGCCAGCCTCAGACAAACATTTGAGGAACTGCAGTTTTTGCACTTCCACATTGGCGTCATATTTCAACACTGGAGGTTGCTTCCTGGTTGGGGCAGCCCTGGTGTTACGGACGGACACCTCTCATCCCTCATTAACAGTGGAGCACCACAGAGCTACGTTCTAAGCCCTCTGATTTTCTCTTTTGTCTTAATTTCCTAAATTCGTGGGATGTTTATCAAAGAACACCACACCAGGTTTTTCTCCAGATTTTCCAGCTTGGTTGATGACTTTTTAAATTATATTTCTCTACACAACTGGCTGTGAGGCGCCATGGTTGTACTAGTCGTTCTGCTTATATGTTTACAGGGTTTACAGGTGGACAAAATATCAAATCAAGCAGTCAGACAATGAATAGTATTGCCTTGTAAAGTTTCTAAGATGTGTTGAGCTTTGATTAAAGGCTTTATATGCGATTTTTTTGATCCAGCAGATGTCGCCCTTGAGCACCAGCATGAAACCAAAACAACTTGCGCTGCATTGTTGTGTTAGCATGCTAATGCTAGCGATCTTTATTATGCTCGTATCTTCACACTGCATGTAAATTTACCTGAAATGAGCGTGATCTAGAAACACAGTTAAGCAGTGAGTACAGTATGTTATTCTTCTTTTCTCTAGTCCCTCAATTAAACAACTTTTATACACGAGGGGAGGAGTCAGCTGCCGTCCTGGCGATGTAAACAAAGTGAAGATAGGACTCTGAAAACTCTGAAAACATCACAGACAGTGGGACTCGGGTGTTACACCCATTGTAGACAGTCATGACTCACAGAGTTATTTTCAGAGGATATACTTGATTTCTATTATATTTAAGTGTGAAAAATCACACATGAAGCCTTTAAATAAGTGACTGAATGGCCCTCGTGGTGTCTCGTCGTGCTGGCTCACCTTTGAGAAGCTCTTGGTCGAGCAGTCGGACTTGTTGTTGGAAGATCTGCTCCTGGACTCTCCACAGTGAGCGCTTCATCTTCTCCCTTCGAGTCACCATGTAGGTCAGATTACGGACCTGAGGAAAGACAAAAGACCGACCATCGTAAACTCACATGACCATCGTCTAACACTGGAACTGTTTACAACTGAATTCTCAAATGTGCAGATTTCAGCCCGTCTCTGTTTCTCTGTCCACCTAGCGTTTTTTCCGGGCAGGAAAGTGCTGGCTCTACGCTGAGAGGAAAAGCGCTGCTCGCCCGTCCTGTCTCTATGACAACAGTCTGTTTACAACGCCCGCTGCATGTTTTATATTTGAGATTTACCCAATCAATCACGGACCACAGAGGATGTGGATACAAGATACTATCCGTGGGAGGATAAAATACAGGAAATATCAAACATTTTAAAAAGAGCGCCGTTGACGTCAACAGCGTGTTTCTAAAAAGTTGAAAGATTTTGAACTTGAGTGCTCAGAGCGGCCGAACAAAATGGCAAAGCGATTGGAAAAGAAATACGCTGGACGCTGCGCTTTTCATCCAGACAGCCGCTTCCTGCTGCGAGCGCTCTCTACCCATTGAAAACAGCTGAAAAAAGACGCTGCCGCTCAGAAAAAAAAACGCTAGGTGGACACGAGGCCTAAAGTGATTTTCTATGGACAAGGGTTGTCCTAACAGATACTTTAAACTTTGATACGGTTTCAAATCCACAACCACATAAATACAGATTGTTGTTTTAAAACAAATCTCAAGTCTTTGCCCACCTCACTCATATCACCTTGAGCAGTTCCCCTCCCCTTTAATTCACTCTATTAATGCATCAGTTACCTATTATTTTATACTGTCATCTATGTCTACACACACTTCAGTTCATACCTGTGCGACATGAGTCCACTTCAGAGTTAAGAACTTGTGCACATTTTTAGGCCTCCAGCTCAGTTTAAAGGCCGAGCCTGCGATACAAGTTTTACAAGATAAAGACTTTATTTAACAACACTCATATTTTCCCCAGAATCGTTATTTTCTACGTTTTTATTTCCTAACAAGTCTGTAAAATCTAACTGGACAAAATGCTTTTTAATGACCATTTAGAAAGCTACGTCCAAGAGCACAGTTAGTCAACTTGAACACATAACTATGACCATAAAAACCTTGATTTACTAAAGAACAAGTGACTCCTTTCTACACCTCATAAAGTGACCGTTCGTTACTGTATTTTTGAGAATGCTTCCTGTCTCACCTGAAGAAGAAAACTACTCTCCATCAGTACGAGGATTTTTCTGCAGTGAACTCGTGTACGCTGAAATATTGGAATTTCTTTTTATCATAATCTTAACTACAAACACTTTTCTCCACCACGCTGAGAATTCAGGAGCATTTATTAAACTTGTTAATCTTTAATCCCTCCTGTTGAAGAGGTTTAGCTTCCTGTCTCTGCTCCCTTGAACCTTGCTGCAGCTGAAGAAGGGACCTACCCTCTCCAGGTCCTGACGGAGGTGTGTGAACAGCTGCAGGCGTCGCAGCAGCACCTCCTGCTCGCGGCGTGCCAGGCTCTCCTCCTCGTCCTTCTTGGGCGTGAGGAGAGGCTGGTTGAAGTTGGCCTTGCGTTTCAGCTTCCAGTACTGAAACAGGAAGTCCACCACCTCCGGCTGCAGCTTCAGGTGGCCGGCCACTTCCTCCACCTCCACAAACTGGTAGAAGTCCTCCTCCATCGCCTGCACCTTCAGCTTGCGGAGGTTCACTCTCTTCTCCTGCTGGCGGCTGCTGAGCGCCTCCAGGTCAGTGGGCGCTCTGCTGATGAGCTGCGGAGCCACGTATGGCGAGGAGGAGGAGGCGGTGGCGGCGGCGTCTTCCTCCCCTCTCACCCTGCCTCTCCTCTTGCCCTTCTTGTCCCTGGCGCTCTCCTTCTCCTCCTCTCCTTCTGAGTCTCGGTCTCTGAACTCTGTGCCCTCGAGTCCCGAGTGTTTGGGACAGTAGGACTTGAACTTGACCTCGTCGTCCTCTGTGAGGATCGTGTTCATTTCAAGGCTGGCGTGGAGGCCGCACGTCACGTGGAAGGCAGTCCGGCAGTTTTTCGCTGAGCACTGTAACAGGAAACCCAATTTTTTTAAAAATAAGACCCAAATTCAAACACTCCAAGGACATGGAGGAGCATTTTTTATGAAACTAAAAATTACAAAAGTAATGTGTTTATGACGGGAAACTGTTTTAAATTTTAAATTTCGGTTGGACGGGAATTAGCCACTACTAACATCCTTTGTTTTTACTTTTCAGCTCTCCCTCCGAGTAAACTTATTGAAAGACTCCATAATTCAAGAAAACAAGTGAGCAGCGGAGCTGGGCCACGTTACCGTTCAACTCAAACTACTGATTTTGTGCTGACTGATCATCGGCCTCCTCCCTCCTCCCTCCTCCCTCCTGCTGAGCTGTGAAATCATTACCGACTAATTCACAGCATTAGCTTGGCTGTGGAGAAGCGGGGGGAAATTAAACATCTCACCACCGCACGGAGGATAGCACACCGCTGGCACATACTCTGATGCTTTTTCACGTCTCATTAAATCGCCCTGCGTGAATGAAATGTGAGCATCGCCTCTGCCTACCTGTATGCACGCTCCCGTCTTCTCTTTGCACAGGCAGCAGATCAGAGCCCATCTGTTGCTGGGAATCTGGGACACGTTGGTGATGGGCTCCATCTTCTCTGGATTCCCGATGCTCACCTGCACGGCAGAGTAAACATCATCATTTGAGGCACATGGTCACAGGTTAGCGCAGCTGCTGTTGACACGTTTAGGGGCTGCAAACACAGAACTGCTACCGCTGCAGTAATCTCTGACCTGGTTATAACCTGATGCATATTCTTGGTATTGTTGCCTTTTTTTTATTTGCAGCAAACTCAAACTGCAGCTTTAGTTTTTACCACTTTGTGAATAACTTATGAAAAGATCATTTTCAACTAAGAGAGATAAGAGAATTGTCTTCTTTTCAAGTTTACTTTTTGTCATGTGTTGAGAGGCTGGTGTGAAATTAAAAAAGTTAAATTCACAGTATTTTGTAAAAGATTTCCCACAGAGATTAACTCGTCCAATATATTGCATAAATCTGGACAGGTAAGATTCGTTTCCTCACCTCTGGAATCCACAAGGCACAGCTGACGTGGACCCACTTGGTTCCACTCCGGGTCGGCTTCATGGCTCCTCCCTTCTTGGGGCACAACTGGCACTTTGGCAGGATGCCGAGGGCGCAGATCCGGCACAGCCAGCTGCCTTTTGGGACTTTCTGGATGCCGTAACAGGCCTGGAGGGGAAACGCAAAACAGACGCCGGCTCATTTTACAAGGCAGTCGACAGAAATCGATACAGCAGCAGCAGAAGAAACAGAGAAAGTAAATGTGTGTGTGTGTGTGTGTGTGTGTGTGTGTGTGTGTGTATGTGTGTGTGTGTGTGTGTGTGTGTGTGTGCTTGTCAGATGAAACCACAACAACAGCTGATCTAATTTAAGAAGATTTCTGTTCTTCTTTCTTAACAATCTCGACAGTCAAATTAAGATTTGAAGGGCTTCACAGGTTATCAGGGTTTGGTTTAAGACATCATATAATAAAAAATAAAAAACCCTACACCTTCACTCTCACTGTTCAAATCTTGGCTCTTATTCTGGAAGCCCCGCCTCCTGAAATATGAGACTTCCAAAGCAAAGAGTTTGGTGTTCAGGAGGTAAGAAGGGCCCGTGTGAGTCGCCGCGCTCTGACCTGGTGAACGCAGATGTTGCACTTGTCGCAGAACACCATCTCGTTGTTGTCCTCCCCGTCGGGCGACTGGCAGACGTCGCACACCACGTCCTCGTCGTACTCGATGCCCAGCCCTTCCTCCGTCTCCATGGCGTGCGACAAGTTGTCGTGGCAGCAGCGCTCAAACTCCTCCATCACACGCTCCATGGTGAGCTCGTCCAGCGAGGGCAGGGCTGTAAGAGCAGGGAGAGAAGGGTTTCTGATTTGTTTCTCGCACTTTTTTTGTTGTTGTTGAACTTTTATGAAGTAACAGAACATGATAAACCTGCTACAGAGAAGACCCGCTTTACAATTTATAAATTGGTTTTCACATTTTTCAAGTATCCAATACTTCCCTGTGAGGTCACAACTATTTACATTTAAAGCTTGTTGAGTTAAAAGTAAAAATCACTGTGATCAACTTCTAAATGCCCGTTTCTTTCGGCCTAAGTGTAACTACATTTGCAGATAACCCTTCCCACCAAACACTGAAATTACACTTAATGACAGGTTTGACTGTGAGGTTTACTCGGTGAGTCATCAAACCACAACGTCGCCACAGAAAAGGTTGGACTGTAGTCAACACAAACATGTGGTCAAAGCAACACAAGAAGCATCGAGAGAGACTCTACAAAGCTGAGACAGAGTTATGGAAAGGAAAGAGAAAAAGACTCAAGAGTCAAACATGTTCCTGACTCAGAACCAGCAGTGTGTCTTTCTTTTTCTTCATCACTGGGGATGAAAGTAAATCTGACTCCATTTATTTTATTTAAAAACACAAACATGATGATTCAGTTTGAATGATCAGCTGTCACATATCCAAATCCAAGTTTATCTCAGCGTCTGACTCCCACAGAGAGATATGGAATCACTGTTCTTGATTTACCAAACTGCTCAAGTTTGATATAAACAAGGAAAATTAAATTATAGCAGCACATCCTAATAAAGGTTTTACTACCAGAAAAATATTTATTTTCCTCCAAGGATTTTTTTCAGTCTTGCCCAAGAACACTCCCCGACCTTTGTTTCTACCACTGATCCACAGCCGCCATTCAGACTTATGATATAGACATTTCCAAATGTGCCCACACAATAACTACAATCCCTCGCAAAATCATTGGTCCCAGGATGCAGCTGAAGCTTCTAACTTCTCCTTTACGGTCTTAAATATATTCATTTATGTGTGACTTTCTTGTAACTTTGTAATGTAAACCACAACCTAAACAAACTAATATGAGGGGTAAACAGGACAAGGACTCACCCATCTCTGCAAACTCCTGGTTGGCGGTCTGCAGCCAGGCTACGTCTTCCTCGTTGAGGTCGTAGCGGCACATCCCCTCCGCCAGCGTCCGGATGTCCACGTATCCCAGAGCCTCGGTGCCTGACGTCCGGATCAACTTCTTTGGCCTGACGAACATCACTTCCTTTCCCTTTTCCGCCAGCACCCTGCAACGCACAGACAGGACACAGTTTACGATCCTGAGTTTACATGTTTAATACTCTAAAATCTCCATTTTCTGTATCCAGTGAGTAAATATGGGCCGGTTTAGCTGTTTTCCTACCTGGCGACGGGCTGCGGGATGGACTGGGGGCTGACGGGAACCTGCACGCCCTTCTCCCACTCCTGCCTCCACGGGTCGGCCAGGACGTAGTAGTCCTCTGTGTTCAGCTGGTACGAGTCATGAACCTTCATGGCGGTGATCAGATCCGTCCTGAAAACCTGCATTAAAAAAAGTAAACTTAGCTGAAAAATTGCAGTGAGTTATGAAAACGCTGTCTTCTTTTGCAAAATGTTTGTGTTGGACAGTTTCCAGCGTTTTGAGACTGAGGAATGATCATGATGTTTTTATGATTTCTCTCAAGCTTCTGTGCAAAAATATACAGATGTAAATAGGCCTTGAAGAAGAGACCATAACTTCTGACTCGGCTTCCAAATTAGTGGCACAAAAATGTTAAGTATAACTTTCCTTAGGCTCATAGAAGCTTAAAAAAATGCAGCATTACACCGTGTTTTTATGTTTCTAGCTCATCTGAATATTTCTGCATACAAATAAAATCCTCATAACAACTTGAACCCAATGACCGTGCTTCATATCAGTGTTTGCGGGGTTAAAAGTGACTCGCACGTTGTGTGGAGACAGCCGAGCAAGAACAGCCAATCGGGATCCAGCTTGGGCTGGAGTCATTGTTTTGTTTTGATTTGATTGGCTCTGAGTTTGAGGGAGTGTACAGTGGCCTGCAGGGACCAAGTCCACAGACTGTGCCGCAGATAACAGATGGTATGTTTCCACCTTCAGGATCCACAGTTCAGCTGTGGAAGTTTATATGAACTTATGATAACAAAAACAGAATGACTTTTCTCTGTTATTTTACTCACTTAACAGTAAATGTTACATCCATTTGTAGCTGAAATTGTTTAGATTGTTAATTCAAATGACTTGTTTTAGGGGGGTTTTGTTTCAAAAACCCAGGTTGTAAGTGATGAAGCATGATCAACACAAATCAACTTCAAACAGAATCATAAAAAGAGTTAAAACAGAGTCGACGTACCTCTGAGGGTTTCTGCCCGGTCCCTCTCCTGGGCTGTGACGAATGTTGGGACCAGCAGGTTGAATTACCTGCAGGAGGAACAGCACAGACTTTTACACGTCTCTTCATCTCTTCTGTTTCTGCTCTAATGATCAGCCTCACACCCTCAAAAGTCGGGATTTCCCCGACACATGTGCCTCATTTGTAACGTCAAAATGCCACAGATCACATTTTCTGTTTCAAATTTGATCTCTTAACTATTCAATGAATTAACTTCTTAGACTAATTATAAAATATCTGACAGTATCATCACAGTGAATAAAATCAGCTTAGAGCCCCGGTCCACCCAGCGTTCTTTTCTAAACACCAGTGTCTTTATTCAATTGTGCTAGGCAGGCAGACGTCTGCTCTGAGCACTTTTAAGAGAAAAAAAAAGAGCCGCTGTTGACATCACCGGTGCTTTTTTCAAAATGAATGTATTCCCCGTAGTTTTGCTGCCTACTCATCGTGTCTTGTACACACATCCTCTTTGCTCCATGTCTGATCGGGAATAAACTATCTAAAATATAAAAAATGCAGTAAAAAGTAATGGAGCAGTGCCGGTCATACAGTTGCTGTTGTCATAGAGACAGGACGGACGTGCAGCACTTTTTTTCCCTCAGCAAACAAACATTTCATGCAATAGCTCCCAAGCTCACAGCCAGCGCTTTTCTACCCAGAAAAAAAACGCCAGGTGGACACGGGGCCGTAATTTGAATGACATGTGGGACCTCACACATCACCTTGGAAGACGGTCAGGTTGATGCAGTTACCTGTTTGCATAACAGAATCCTGAACCCGACCTTGACTTAAAGCTGTTTCCAGTAAAAGCTTGGGGTTTGTTTTTACACCCGATGCCTCATCAGATTGATTGGATGATAAGTATGTCATCTCAACCTTGGCTCAATTTCCCCTGATCAACAACTTACCAGAACAAAGCTAAACTCACTCCACCTACGATCTTGTGGAGGATGAAACAAGCTACAGAAGTCAGTTATGAAGTTATTAGTCCCTCTCTCTGACCTGTTAGGACGTCTTTAAAGGTACAAATGTCCCTCCAGTCCCTACTCTGACTGCTGTTTCTTAAACTGCACGCCTCCCTCGTCTCCTCCTTTATCCGACTCCATCTGCTGTCCTTTCTCTCTCCTAAACATGAAGTATACATTTACACTGGAAAACACATTTTCTGAAAACAAGACAAGAACTCAAGAATAAAAAATTGCTATAGCCCAAATAGATCGATGCAGAAAAAGTGACTTTTGAATTCCTAAAATGTAATTCTGAATCGTTGATGATATGTAAGAATTAACTTTTAGCCACCATTACCGTTTGTGTTTTTTAAAGATAAAAGTAAGCGTTTCTTTTACACTCCTGATTACACTTTCATGAGTGAAGTTGGGGAAGTTGGCGGTCTTGCACTGACCTCATTGAGGTCTATATTTGGATTCGGTATGAGTGAGTCAGCAGTGACATTATTGTGCTTACTTCCATTGTCTGAGTCGTCGCTGCTGCTTGGGTGCCTGCTTCTCTTCATTGTTGTGTGTCTGTTAGGCTCCGGCTGAGGGACGCGACACAAAACAGAGGTTAGGTCACAGAGAGGATAAAAGACATGGTTCAAAAACAAACACAAATGATCAGGGAAATAATCATTTTACAGAATAAGACAAGAAGCCTGGCTCAAAAACAGACACATAGTATCTGTATTTTACGGCGGCTGGGAAGTGCAAAGCAAGATAACAAAGTCACTTTTACAAAATGAGAGACAAATTTACATTTAAAAAAAACATTTTTACATTTTATGAAACAAAATTACAAAACCAAAAACACTTACCAAGGACAAAACAAATTTACAAGACGTGAAACACTTTCACCGGTCCCCAAACAAATTTACAAACGACAGAATCTTGACGGAAAGGGAACGTACCGCGACAAAACAAAACAAACAAAATGACCCCTCACTCCATCACTTCCGACATTTGGTACATTCCCATTTTGTCAAGATTCTGTCGTTTGTAAATTTGTTTTACAAAATGTAAATGTGTTTTTTTTCCTTGTTATAAGTGTTTTGGTTTTGTAATTTTGTTTTCTAAAAATGTAAAAAGGTTTTTCAAAATGTAAATTTGTCTCACATTTGTAATTTTGCTTTGCACTTCCCAGCCACCGTAGTATTTAGATCAGACATGCAGTCTCACTAATACACAGCATCATCACCACAGATGGAGAACTATCTGAAGAATAAATGGACGCCTCAATCATAAAGTTTCCACTCTACAAAAGTATATTTATGTCACATACTCGAGCCTCGATTGTTAGAAAGCATTTATGATATTGAGCTCTCTGCAGCTGACCTATCGATGTGGTTTTGACTTCAATCATTAGATAGATAGTTTATTGATCTCGAGGGAAATTCAAAGCATCCAGTAACAGGTTACAAAGACATGACATGAAACATTTGTTACAAATTAACCACAAAACCGACGCCCCCCCCCCTTCCTCCCATACATATATATGAACCTGAAAAAAAGATTTAAAGACTCCCCCGAGATGAATCAAACATAAACTGTGCAATTAAAAAATAGACTTATAAGAAGAAATGTACATAACCTGTGCAGGGATAAAAAAATATATGTGAGATTTAAACAAGAACCTTTAAACAGTAGAGGACAAAAAATCTGTAATTAGACCTGAATATAAAAAATAAACCTTCTGAAGTTGTGTTGTTTATTTGTGTACAGCAATTAAGATTAGAAATCATCATGTCTATCTGTGATGACTGCAGCAACATTATCAGCTCTTGGACATATAAAGATATTACATATCAGACTGTAACATGCATGTAAAAACACATCCTTACTCTCCTTGTTTCCACCCCCCCCCCCATATGGTTATATTTGTAAACATCACAGTCCAGAAGTTACAAACATCCTAACAACTAACCTGCAGAGTTATAGGTTAACTTTAAAGAATGCAGCAACAACAAAAACACATCAACAAGGACACCAGACTCCAAACAGGTGGACATAGTTTCATGCTCCGACGCAGGAGAAAGAAAAGATCAAGACCTATTTTAGCTGGAAAATGCTAACAGCATGCTAGGCTAACTGTTTGTGTGACGCCCCTTTTTCCAGCCAACAGAAAGTAGCGGCTAACCAACTAGCGGCTAAGTTTAGCAGGTGTATACACAGAGTTTGCATGCATGTTACCCCGGCAACATAGGAGCAAATGCAAGCCATTTTTATGCAATTAAAAGTGTGATCGGGATTTGCTTCAAACAAACGTCACAGCGCCCACACGTCTAAACACAGACAGCACGGCTGCCGTTAGCATGACAGCTAGCTCACCTCCCGTTACCGTTATGCAACATGCGGGCCCACCCACACCGGCAACTCCAATCATGTTTTTATTATAATAATTGGACTTTCTTAATGCTCAGCCGTGTCTGTTTGCTTAAAATGACTTATTTAACGACATTGAAACAAGTTGTTTAAAGCAGAGTTTGCGGTTTAAGTGCATATTTTTATATAACCTTTGCAACGCTGGTTGTTAGCAACGGGCTAGCTCGTTGGCTGCATGCTACACGGTAACGAACGCGAACATAACACCACGCTTATCTGTCAAAGGTTAGGGGTCAATAATTTGATTGTTTCATAACACTACCTGGAGTCAGCGTGAACACACAAACTGTAACGATGATTATTAACACATTAATGTTGTTGGGTTATCTTTAAAGTAAGCACAGCGGAGCAGAAGGTGGTAAATCCCGCAGCTCTCCACTGGCTGAGGTTATAATCTTTGGCGCCATTTTAAAATGACGATGTCGCGTTTTCCTAGCGGACTCAGCTAGTGCGACTCCACACTAGAGATTTAAACTCGTTCAAATAGCCCGAAAAGAAACACTGTGGAAGAAATGCACACGATATACACCCGTGTAGAGTTGACAATAAATGTGACGGTACATACAGAGCACGCCAGGAGGACGCTAGCCGGTGTTTGAGTTTGATTTGAAGCGCAGTTTTTAGCCGTGAGTTCCGCTTGACCCGCATTCCACATACACAAACACGGAGCGGCGGCCGGGGAGGAGGGTACCCAGCCCGGACTGAAGTTCCTCCTGTTGACCGCTGGAGGGCAGCAGAATCCACTGAACCGGCACCAACAAGATCCGATAAAGTAATCAAGAGGGGAGAAAAAACTTTTATCAGCGTGTTTAAAAAAAAAGGTTACGATGTAAAACCCAGGTTGCTTAGAAGTCAGTTTGAGTGTCAACAAACATATTTATGAGCGTAATATTCCTCAGTGTGCGTGACGTGGCGTGGCTGTCCCACTCACTGACCGTCACTCCCTTTTTTTTTTGGCGAGTACACACAGCAGGGCTTTATCTGTTAAAGGGACAGGACACCAGAAACACAACTATTATATAAAAACAGAATAAAAAAAAAGGAAAAAATATTCTCAAATATTATTATATAAATATTATATAAATTGATATTATAGAAAAAATATCCTCAAATATTATTATATAAATATTATAGAAATTTATATTATAGAAAAAATATCCTCAAATATTATTATATAAATATTATATAAATTGATATTATAGAAAAAATATCCTCAAATATTATTATATAAATATTATAGAAATTTATATTATAGAAAAAATATCCTCAGATATTATTATATAAATATTATAGAAATTTATATTATAGAAAAAATATCCTCAAATATTATTATATAAATATTATAGAAATTTATATTATAGAAAAAAAAGAAAAAAATATTCTCAAATATTATCCAAAGAAAAGCTTCCCTTACGCCTTAGTTAAGAGTCTTGAATCCAAACTGTCTGTATGCAACTGTTTTGGCTGATGATCTAATTATTGTTTTTCTTATTATGAAGTGTGTGCTGTATGAGTTTGAGTGTTTTTGGTGTTGAAAGTGTGTGAGATCTCTGATTTCAATGGGACTAACCTGGATAAATACAGGTTGAATAAATACATAAAAATAGTATTGCAGCCCCTTAAAATCTGCACCCAAGCTTCTTTATTTCCTTTTAATTTCAAATGTTTATTTATTCTGGAAAATACATTGAAGTTTCCCTTATTTCCAATGAGGCCAAGTATACACACACAGCTTAATCTATTAAAGGGACAAGACACTAAAAACACAACTATTACATAAAAACAGAAAAAAAGGAAAAAATATTCACTGAAGAAATAGACAAATATTTTCTTATTATGAAAATTATAAATAAAATACAAAGGCACAAGTGACACAAGACAATGATAGAGGTTAAAGGTTAAAGGTGGTCACAGACTTGGTTTTCTTTTATCCACTGTTTGAGGTGTGTTTTGAAGGTTGCATATGTTTGTGAGTCTCTTATTGTGAGTGGGAGAATATTCCAATATTTAGTTCCTTTGACTGACATTATTATGACATTATTATGAAGTGTGTGCTGTATGAGTTTGAGTGTTTTTGGTGTTGAAAGTGTGTGAGATCTCTGATTTCAATGGGACTAACCTGGATAAATACAGGTTGAATAAATAAATAAAAATAGTATTGCAGCCCCTTAAAATCTGCACCCAAGCTTCTTTATTTCCTTTTAATTTCAAATGTTTATTTATTCTGGAAAATACATCGAAGTTTCCCTTATTTCCAATGAGGCCAAGTATACACACACAGCTTAATCTATTAAAGGGACAAGACACTAAAAACACAACTATTATATAAAACAGAAAAACTATTCAGTTAGGAAAAAGACCCTAATAAAAGCTGCCTTTACCAATAGATCAAGATTCAAGATTAACTATATTTGTCACACAAGTTGAGACATTTGTCCTGGGATGCGTCAACCACCAAGTTTTTAAATAATGATGGAAAAATTAGAAGAAAAATAACATTTAGGTTCTGAAAATATTGCTGCATAGACAAATTATAGCCCAGTGCATTTCCTGCCTTATTTGCCAGTGTTTAAAGGATTTACACACCAACATAAATCATTATAATAAAGCAAATACAGACACAGTATTACCTGTGCTCACCCATATCTAACATCAAGATCTTAAAGGAAAGAAGGGTTTTACATTTTTTTTAAACATTAAAATACAAAAAAAAAGATCAAACCAGACGATGTTTTATTTGATTTAATCTGAAGGATTTATTGAATCTGAACGGTAAAAACATGTGGAGTGATAAGAAAACCAGCTCACAGTACCGTGTGCCAATTCAAACAGGATTCACACACATTTATAACACATACATGCAAGTTAAAAAAACATTTTTACACAGTCGTTCAGTTTGTATTGAATGTTATTTTTTCAGCACGTTGTCTGTAAACGTGGTGTTCTTAAAATGAAACCAAATACACGTCAATAAGAGATTTAAAACAGTACAGTGACTTTTCCTTCAATGAGAATTCAACACAACTAACAGATAAACAATAAAAGAGTCTTTTTTCAATACCAGCAGAGGAACAACGGAGGTCCTGATTTACATGCAGTCTGAGGGGGAACCTGAACTCATCACAGTGAACGGAAAGGCTCAAAACACACAACACACTGACTCACACACAGTCACACAGTCACACAGTCACACAGTCACACCCAGCTCGTGTTTCCAGCTCAAACTTCAGAGTTTTTAAGAGTTATTTGGGGTTATTTTATTATTTAGTTATAGAGATAGGAAGGACGATAAAGTCAGAAATCAGGGAGAGAGAGAGAGTGAGGAATGACATGCAGGATACAAGCCTCATGTTGGATTGGACCTGGGCCTCCCTCCTCGAGGACTGTAGCCTCTGTACACTGGATGCACAAACTAACCACTAGTCCACCAGCGCCCCAACTCAGTGACTAACAACGCACGATTGGGCTGAAATCTGGCCCTACTTCAAAATTAGTCATACGACTCAAAAATCTGTTCTAAATCAGTCTGAAATCGTAGAGTTAACCTGCATCTTACAATGAATATTTGGCATGGATAAAAGTTGTTGAAGCTGTTTCTGCAGCAAGCTAATCATGGTCTCGTCTGACACCTACCCTGAGGCAGAGGTTACAGGCATGTCAAATAAATATACAGAAATACAGAATCTTATTTGTAAAGGTCTCGTTTGCTTTTAAAGAGGCATCAGGATTCATTTCAGTCTGTTTCATAACCAGCATTAAAAACTCCTCAAAGGAGCTTTAAATCAAACGCTGTAGATCACGATATCCAATGAACTCCTTACAATTGGACGGGGCATGCTTATGAATTGTTTGTTTCTAGCTTTTGTGCTAAGCTAACTGGCTCCTGGCTGAAGTGATAATAACCTTTACACCTTGTTCTCAGCTCTACATAATCTACTGTACAAACTTCTCTTTGAAATAGTTTGACTTTGTGTGAAGCAGCATTTTCTCAACAAAGATGAAGACATTTGTTTACAGTATTTTTTATAACTGAAAGGGTTAATAAAATAAAATCTATTCTAGCAGAGAGAGTTGGAGAGAGTTTTATATTTTTTGTGATCTTGGATAAATTAGGGTTGGCCTCTAATCAGAAAAAACTGAAAAATCTCCTGGGAGCTGACGACAACATTAACTGAGACTGGGAACTGATTTTGTAAACTAGTCCACCTCTAAACTTTTTCAAGGCCTTTTTCAAAGTTCTTCGCCTTCAAAGATTTAAGGGATTCCCCTCTCAACATCCTGGTCTCGGTCTGCGCTCATCTGGTGGCTAAGATGGCGTCGTAGGACTTTCCGGTGCGGCACACCTGGACGTTGTGGAAGCCCGTCTTTGTGAGCATGTGCGCGTACTCAGACGGCGGTCGCTCCCGGCCCTCCGCCTGCACCAACATGTTGAGGGAGAAGATCTGAGCCATGACGGGCCCTCGTCTGTTCTCAAACAGCATGGCCTCCACCAGCAGGACCCCGCCACCTGCCGAGAGGACGCACTCAGACTAAAACGTGCTGGAGGTGTTTTAATGGATCAGTATGAACACAGACAACAGAGGATGGTGGTGAATAATTCACTAACACTTAATGTGCCTTTGTTGTGATGCCTGGAATATTTATTTTAACCTGTAAAATATTAAAGACAAAAGCTTCAAAGACACAGCTAACACTTCAAGTGGCCTCGATCCTGCAGGTCCACAACAGATTATCTCCAGAGCAACGTGAGGCACAATTTATACCACACCTTGTTTCTTCTTTCTTGCCTTTTATTTATCTAATTTACTGAACTAGGACTGTGCACGTCAGCAGACTTGGACTAGAGCTCATAGAGTGCTTTTCTAGTCTTCTGACTACTCAAAGCACTTTTACACCGCAGGTCACACCTACACATTCACACACTGATGGTAGAGGCTGCTGAGTAAAGAGACCATCAGGAGTAACTAATCCCATTCATACACCGCTGATGAAGCAGTGGGAGCAACTTGGAGTTAAGAGTCTTGCACGAGGACACATCGGACATGTGGCTGCAGGAGCTGGGGATTGAACCCCTGACCTTCCTGTTGAGAGACGACCGACTCTACCAACTGAGCCACAGCCGCCCCTATCTATGTAAATATGCCGGAATTAGCAAAAAAGATGAATTTCATCTGTAATCTTTTTTTTTAAGATTTATTTTGGGCTTTTTCGTGCCTTTAATGCAGAGAGAGGACAGTGGATAGAGTCGGAAACCAGGGAGAGAGAGAGAGAGCGGGGAATGACATGTGGAGAGGGGCCACGGGTGGAAGCGAACCCGGGCCTACTGCTTGAGACGAGAGTCTCAACACATGGGATGCGCGCCCTGACACTGTGCCACCAGCGCGCCCTTCAGCTGTAGTCTTAAAGCACAAAACACATGTACAATTACAGGAGAGCAAACAAAAGAACAGATATAATTCTTCTATACAGCTGTCCCCCCCCCCCGCCATACAACAGGGAAAGTCCCCTGCAGATGTGGACATGTAACTCAGAAGACTTCAGGGTCTGTCTGTCCTGAAATGTTTGAGAAGTGTTGATGTGTGAAAACAGATTACACCACAATCAAAAATATGCAGAGGAGGTGGTGGGGTTGATTTCATGCCCATGTGTTTGGGTTTCAGATCACAGCTCTGGAATGTTTTTGGAGGAAATGTTTCTCGTACCAGCGGGCTTGACCTGAAATCAACTCATATCAAACAGAAGGCTACAGTCAGTAGCCTCTTCTCTCTAAATCAAACACTGAACACCAACATACTGGCCTTTGATCAAAACTTACTGTGAGCCAAACAAACTAAACAGCTCTGCTGAAGTTTCAGGACAACATCTGGAGATATTTAGAAGAAGTTTATCTCTGAAATATAATTCTGTTTCGTTTTTAATGGTC